TCACTTTTGAATCTATGGTCTAAACAACCCGTCTGTAATGAATCTGAAGGTATTGATGTTATTTCTCCCATTTCAGCTTGGACAACAGAGTAAATTCCTCACTCCCTTATCGTTATCGAGAATATTCAAACTCTCTCACCAAAAGGAAGCAATCTTTTTTAACTTGTTGGCTGCTAGTTTCATCATTCTATTCGGTAAAACGTCTTGGTACCCAAAGACACATTCCAATGTCAGAAACCACTTGTTGAACTTGTCTGGATTAATGTGGTTTTCAAAATATGGTAAATCCACATTTAATTGAAAATCTTGGCCTCTCTAACATTTCATGAAAAATCTTTGAGCTAGTGGTTCTTCATCTCAGAGATAAAATGAAATTTAGTGGTTCTTATAAATGGCATCATATTCCATTAAAATCTTTGAGCTAGTGGTTCTTCATCTCAGAGATCAAATGGAATTTATGTAAATCGTCTGAATTTCTCATAAATGGCATCATATTCTTTCCCCTCGAGGAAGATTCTGACTATTGTATAGGTGGTGGAATGGTTAAAGTTTGGGGTTTGGGTGGGTGGGAGATGGTGTATATGAATGATGTTGTGTGAGAGAGAAAATTTTTTGAGTAGTCAGTTTAAAAAAATCAGTAAATAGAAGGAATTTTGTGTGAAGATATGGTTGGGTATTTATATATGCCATAAATCTTAGATGGGACTAGAGTTAGACTATCTCTGATACCAAATGATATCAGAGTTAACCCAAACAATAATAAGAAATAAATATTATTTCTGGAAAATCCAAATGGTAGTTACAACCATCACACTGAAATGCAAAATAACAACAAACACAAAGCACATAAAACAAAACTTAATTGAATTGAAGGCGGTACTCGTTACTGTTGGCTATCTAGAAAGGTGACAATAAAGTAGGGAAGATCGAGCAAGTGAGAGGAGCTGGTAACATAACATCAGCTACTTGTTGTCCTGGGTGGCCATAAGGAGATTGAAGGCTTGATAACGAGTAAAATAGTGAATAAAGGTGGTTTTAGACAACATCAACTCCATAAGAAGGCTTGAATAGCAATAAAAAATAGCCATAGAGAGTAGGGGAAACAACTGTGATGGCTAATAAGGTAGATACCAATAAGAGAGGAGTAAGGAGTGGTTGGGAGAGTTGGAGGTGAGGGAAAAAGGTGATTGGAAGGCAAAAATTGCATGTTAACATCAAATAGACGTTCTTTCGTGTAGCGACTGTGAGAGGGATTGATGGTGGCAGTGATGGGAGATGCGAAGGCTGAAGAAAAGAGAGAAGATGACTGTATAGGGCAACACCAACGATGACAAGAAGTTGTAAATGAAAAATTGTACTGAAAAATAGCAATGAATGATGTTTTGGGTTGGTTGTAATAATGGAGTGTTGACTTAGAGCGATGTAGGTAGGATGCAAAAAGGGATATGAAGGATAACTTCCTCCTAAAGATAAAGATATAGCTGAAGATTGATATGGAACCCTAGGATACATTCCTCGAAGGGAAGAAGATATGTTAGAGGCAATCCCGATAGAAAATGCACCAAAACTCCATTCTAACCCTAAACAACACATGCATAAGAAAGATCTATAAAGAAAAGAGTAAAACTTGCTAAAGATTGTAAATGAATTAAAAATAAGGTCAATCAGTTTGGCTATGGGTCGTTAATGTGAGCTAGGGGCGAGGAGATCACGTAATCCTCCATCTGTGTTGTAAGCAGGAGGGGCACCACAAGTCAATAAGATTACATGATTATGTTAAAATTCAAATTGCTTAGAAATAACCTGACAAGTATAACTGCGTAAAAAAATTGGATTATGATAGTTTTAGTTTGATTACAATGGTCATAGAGGAACAATAACAGTCATGGTGAGGCTACTATAGTCGTAATTGGTGGAATAATTGTTATAGTATACTACCAAACATGTAGTTGATGATTGCAATATTCATAGTTGGCTATATAATCCATAGTTGTGCTACAACAGTCGTAGTTGGCTATAAAATTTATAGCTGGAGGACACAACAACCATAGTTTGCTACAAAAGGCATAATTGGCTATAAAAGTCATTGTTTGAGGTCAAAAAAGTTGTAGTTGGGCTATTGAGGTAATATTTGGAGGTTATAATAGTCATAGTTGGCTATTAAAATCATAATTGTTTGTTAGAATGACCATAGTGTGGTTACAAAAATAGTAGTTTGAGGTTATAATAGTAGTAGTTCACTACAGAAGTTGTAGCTGATGGCTATAAAAGTTTTATTAGTGCTACAAAAGCCGTAGTTTGAGGTTGTAACAACTATAGTGAGCTACAAAAGTTGTAGTTGGTGGTCACAACATCCATCGTTGGCTAGAAAAGCTGTTGTTGTTGGTTATAATATTTGTAGTTGGCTATAAAAGTAATACTTTATGGCTATAACAGTCATAATTAGCTATACAAGCTGTATGTGGGTAGTTATTGACAGCAATAACGGTAGTTGATGACAATAATTGCTTGTGGTGGTCAATAACTATTGTTAGACCCTCTCTCGTGTTCGATGACAATCTCTAATGTTTGACGATAAATTCTAGTGGTAGACAGTGAACTCTAGTGATTGGTCACGATCTCGAGTGATAGATAATAACTAGCGGGACTTTAAAAGTTAAGCTTTAATAGTCATACCACTCTTCTGTTCTACTTTCCCTCAATTGAATTACTTTTCATTTTAAAATATGGATAAATTTAGAATTCATTCCTCGGTTATTTTTTTGTATGATTGGAATTTGTTGAATTTGATCGAATTCAAAATGCATTGTCCTCTATAAATTGTTATCGTAGCCCCCCATTGTCAACCGTTGTCCGTCACTGCTGCCATCCACAACCCATCATTGCTAGCCGAAGCTCGTTGTCACCGGCAGGCTGCCAACCACTACAAGCCTCTGCCAGCCACTACTAAGAGCTGTTGCTTCCACCCCCCGCTTGTAGCATTCCGCCCACCCATAACCACAACTGAACTCTACCGACCTTTGCTCTAGCCTGCTACTACTGGTCGCCGTAGGAAACCTAGAAATTTCAGCCACCACACACCCTTGCCAGCTCTCGATTGTTATCGGCCACTGCTATTGTCTATGATCCCCAGAAATTTCAGCCACCACACACCCTTGCCAGCTCTCAATTGTTATCGGCCACTGCTATTGTCTATGACCCCAGCTGCCTAGATCACTATTCACTGACCGCCCCATAATTCATGCAATATCTCACATATTTAGAAATATATATATATATTTTTAGTCTTTTTTAAACAAATTAAAAAGAATATGAAATCATAAATTTATTCTACTATAAGTAAAAAAATTTCAAATTATTTCAAACACAGTATATTATTTATACATTATTATATCCATTTAATACAATATTACTTTTTTGGTTTATCATTTTAAGAATAACGGATTTGAAATTCTAAACTAATATTCGGTCATTCAAAATTAAAAGCGCATAATGAAACAAAATCGAAACATAGAATATTTAAAATTAATATTAATTAATAAGTCTTAATGGCCTCGCTAAAATTATTGTTTACTGCCCTTCAAATTTAAGCGTGTGCGAGAGAAACGTCCCTGCTATTTAATGACATCCATTGATCCCCGTGAAGCAAAATCTTAGCCGTTCAAAATTTTTCATCCGT